GAAGAGCACCCTCCACCAACCTTTGGGCTGCTCTAAATGATTAATCCCCTGATGAATCTGTGGTACGCTTACGGACATACAAAGCTAAGATCAAGGGTTTGATTCCCCACGGCGGACAGAGCGCAGATAGCACATGTGTAGCTTTGTGCTTAATTACAAAGAGATTGAAATACGTTTTTATTTTTATGTTGTTGTTGTTTTTGCGGAGTTTTGGTAAACACTTCAATTTCAGGTTCACTGTTTGGTTCGCTTAAACGCAAAATTACGCAATGGGCTATCTGTGCTCTGCCCATCGCAGAGATCAAATTACGAATCTCAGCTACTCAACATCTAAGTTTTATTCATCTTATTTCCAACTTTGATTTGTCATTTTTGAATAAACTGTTCTTTAAACAGGTGCCCCTGATAGGACGGCAGTAAGTTTACGGACTTACAACGCTAAAATCCGGTGTTCGATTTCAACAATTTTCTTCTTTCATTTATTCAAACTTTTGTATAATCATTATATTTACTTCAAAAGTATTATATTTCTTATTAATTTGCCAACGTTTATTTACTTAGCATAATGAATAATTTTGACTGTTATTTTTAAGCCACATTACTCCCCCAAAACGTTGTATTTTCGATGGCTGTTGTTACGAAAGTTTCGATACAAACTAAAAATGTATTTTACTGGTTTAAAGATGAAAATATATTTTAATAAATAATTATAAAACAACTTCAAATATGAGATTTTAAGGGAACTGTTTTTAAGTCCATCGTTTAGTCAGAATCCATACAAAAGAAATTTCTGGGATCAATGTTCTCGGGGGTCAGCTATGATAAGAACAGGTTTGTTTGTTTTTCGGGATCGTTGCTACATTTAGTTAAAGGGAATTAATTTTGTTCTTCCTAGGATAGAAACCTGGAATTTAATCCTCAGCACACGTCGTGTACTCTTATTCCCAACCAGAACAATTCATAAAAAAAATTAAATGAAAAAAAAATCATCTAAAACAAAATTTCATGCTGAGTCAAGTTTTATTTCTAAACTATTTTCTGATCGTAATTTTTTACTCAAAATGCTTTTAATACAAACAAGGTTAGCAAAACACCTATCAAAATGTCCTAGAATTAATGCGTTTTATTGTTATTCTTAACCGTATGTCGTATTAATTAAATACAAAGAAAGAGCAAAATAAGGCTCTTCCAGCCAGGTTTGACGGGAGTGTAAGACAAACACCATTCAGTTTGAAATTCAAAGTTTAGAAGGAATGTCACAAGAAAATAATGGAAAGGGAACATGCCAATCAGTGATTGCCTTACCGTCCTACGTTGATCTGACTCATTTTATATGCTGTACTATTTCCTATAGATCATTTTCCAAACGGTTCTGCTATGATTAAGGTCTGACGAAAAGCTTCAGCAGATATTTCCTTTGCAACATCACAACCAACAATTGGTCCAGTTATCAACGCTGTTTTCAAGTTTTGAACAACTCGACTTTCAAGATCTACGTATCTACATGTGCCGATGTTTCCATTTTTCAACGTTATATTTTAAGATCTGTGCAAGAACTCAACTAATAGATGTTTCCTTATATCAAAGTTATCTTCAAGTTTTGTACAACAAAAAAACTTTTAAAATATCTCCTTTTCCACTGTTAGTCTTACTCTTAACATATTACACGTTAGGCCTATGTTAATCGTTAGGCCTATCACTTGTACGGTAGTTAACTTTTCCTTTTGTAACTTTACTTTCTTCTGCTAGTATCTGTTTGCTGTTTCCACTCATCTCACTCTACTTATATCTTTATCACTTAATCGTCTGTCCGCCTTCTATATTCTCGACGTTAATGTATTGCACGTGACGTTCGATAGTCTCAAAAATCTATGAATTATTAACAAAACTTAATAATCGTCTGCTTTTAACTCTTATTATAACAAAAACTAAACAATGATAAAATATTCAGTAACTAAAATAAATTAATCACTAATATCTAAACTAAACAGTCTTTTATATCATGACATTTATGATTAGTTATTATCCCATGGAAAGTTGTAGTATTACTTAAGGAAACACCTACAGAAATGTATCCACTTCGTCATAATGTGTTTGCTGTTAAGCGCAAAGTTACACAATGGGTTATCTGTGCTGTACCCGATCGTATGTATGGTTTTGATCTTTTGTGGAGATTAACACTGTTTGGTTCTCGATAAACTTCTGTTTCAGTTGTGTCATCGGAATTTCTTGTGATTAAAACATCTAGAAATGCGATCATATCATCACTTTCGGCTTCATAAGTGAACTTTATGGAAGGGTCAGTGGGATTTAATAAGTCATGAAATTTTCTTAACCAACAGTTGTCTTTGGGTATACCATTGAAAGTGTCATTCACACAATGTGTGTAGAAATATGGTTTAAGTAGTACTTGGTTGAATAATTTGTTTTCAAAGTCATCCACGAAAATGTCACAGACAAGAGGTGATAAAGGACTTCCTATGCTGAGATCTTGATGAGGTTCATTTTTGAATTGAAAAAAGGAGTTGTTAAGACATAATTTTAACAGGGTAATGATTTCTTCTGGAGGTGTCTGGTTTTACTGATAAAACATCTCGACCATCAGTTAATGGAACTTTCGTTTACAAGGTTTTTACATCAACTGATACCATGTTATTTGTCTTTTATTTCGAAACTTGAACACTTTTTCTCGTGTCTATTTGGTTGAGCTTCATGCACAAAAGGAACAAATTTTATTAAATATTCTAAACGAAAGAGTAAATGTTTTTTCTTGTGTTTTATTATCTTCAGAGAACAACTTTACCAGTTATAATAAATCATGTTCTTGCTAGACGGCTTCCAAACCCAATTCTGTAACGACTGTGGCGAGGATGTTTCTTATTTTTTCTTTTAATCTACAACTACTTGTTAATCAGCCTTCCAGTTGTGCCGAGTGTTACCAACAGCACTGTCAGTTACAACATTCAGTTGTGCCGAGTGTTACCAACAGCACTGTCAGTTACAACATTCCGTTGTGCCGAGTGTTACCAACAGCACTGTCAGTTACAACATCTCGTTGTGCCGAGTGTTATCAACAGCACTGTCAGTTACAACATTCAAGTTGTGCCGAGTGTTACTAACAACACTGTCAGTTACAACATTCAGTTGTGCCGAGTGTTACCAACAGCACTGTCAGTTACAACTCTCAGTTGTGCCGAGCGTTACCAACAGCACTGTCAGTTACAACATTCCGTTGTGCCGAGTGTTACCAACAGCACTATCAGTTACAACTCTCAGTTGTGCCGAGTGTTACCAACAGCACTGTCAGTTATAACTTTCAGCTGTGCCGAGTGTTACTAATAACACTGTCAGTTACAACATTCAGTTGTGCCAAGTGTTGCCAACAGCACTGTCAGTTATAACTTTCAGCTGTGCCGAGTGTTACTAATAACACTGTCAGTTACAACATTCA